TGACCGTTGTATTATCATTAAAAGACAAATTAAAGTATTTATTTCGATTATCCGGATTTTTTCTTATCCGGACGACCTTCATCCCCAATTAGTCCGGATAATCGAGGTTATACTGTACTTACATTCAACAGAATTTAAGCATAATTTTTTTATATATTGAATTTTTCAATTTAAAAATTATATTCAAAATTAAAATTTATGACAAATAATTTAGAAACTTACTTCTTCTACTCTAACTAATTCAACGAAATTATCTGGAAATACTCCAATTTGTCCATTTAATTCGCCTTTCCACCATCCTTTATCTTCAACCTCCTTTGTAATAATTGTGATTATGTCTCCTTTTTTTAATGTTAACTCATCATCATTCTGTGCTTCATATGGATAAATTACTTGAGCCTGTTCTCTCACTATTAAAATTTTTTCAATACAAATATTAAAAATTTATTCAATATTATTAATAAATTTAACCAATTCTACAAACATTTTAAATTTAAAATTTAAATTTTAGTTATATTCTTTTTCTATATATACAGCAAACCTCACTAACTCTGACTAATAGGGCAGTGAAGATTGTCAAAGGTTACAAAAGTCCAAGTCATCAGGGTATTTTCTCCAACAATGTAGAAAATGAGAATGTGAATATACAGTGCAATAATTTATTATAATCAGCTCTGCACAGAAGATTTATTGCTAAATTCATTATTACAGGAAATGAGCTCAAAAAATTTCATGACAACACAGTATAAAGCAATGTACAGTCTTTAATAACTTACCAACTACAGTAAAATAATGCACAGTATTGAAAAGACTTGATATTAAAAAACACTCAATTATAACTTTTCTATTCTCAAGAAATTCCCAAGTTACCATTTCAAAAAGTTAATCCAATTAGCAAGGGTTTATTTTATTTACAAAATTATTTTGTTTAACTAACTTCAGATGTTAATTTTAATTAAAAATGCAAAATCAAAGGCTACATTTTAAAATAAATATTTAAATAAATAATTTGCAACTTAATACAATTTTACTTAAATATAATATGATAGTTATTCTAATTGAAAATCTTATCTATGTTTTAGAAATTTCTTTTCTTAAGGGTCTATTTACACACAACAGTGGAGTCCGGCACAGTGACCATTTGGTGGCAGTGATGTTGAGCACGGCACAGTGACAAGTATTTACACACAACAGTGATGTGACCATGATGTCAGTGAGTGGTCATGGACTTTTCTGAGGATGAATTGGCTATGATAGCTATATGTTTGGATGAAGAAGAAAAAGAAATGCGATCAAGAAAGTGCCGCAAGTGGGTACATCAAGCATGGACAAAAAATATCAACAGAATGGGAGTTTCATACTATTTATAAAAAATTGAGATGACGAATTTATATATTTTTAAATATTTTCGAATGTCTCAACATACATTTCATACTTTATTAAACAAAACAGAGAAAATATTCATTTTGTACCCAATGTCCATGTACTTCAAATGAGATAAATCAAATAGAACAGGGTGTTGATGCACCATTTCAATTAAATGTTCGTCATCCATTAGAAAACAAAATTTAACGTCAGTAAAAATATCGTTTCCATCAAATGTACTTTCATGGTATGGTCACGCCACTGCCACTGCACAGCACAGCACAGCATTGTGATGGATGAGTCTGGATAGGGTGGTTTAAAACTAGGTCAATGATTTCCCACATGCAAAAATTCACAGCACTATGCCAGCATGTCACTGTTGTGTGTAAATGGACCTTAAATAAGAACTTTTTGTTCAATTACCTGGTTTTGGAGGTAACTTTGGGGCATTTTCAGCATTAGCTGGTAAAGGTGGAGGTTTTTTCAATATGGGCTAAAATTTAAAAAAAATTAAAAGTTAACTTACATAATAATAATGCTTTACATATACAGTAGAGCAGCGATTATCTGAATCAACTGGGGATTGGGGTTGTTCAAAAAATCGATTTTTCGTATAACTGATTATGTACAAGAAAATATATTATTAATATAGTATACAGTGGTACCTCAGGATACGAACGCCCCAGCATATGAAATTTTCAGGATACGACATGAAATTCGAACATATTTTTGCTCCACGATACGAACAAAAACTCACCATACGACGTTACATTAGTTCGCAGTGCCATTTTTTATTCACTTCTGTTCATTGGTCTCAGTCCGCGAGTTTGCTTCGTCGTGAAAGGATCTCGCTTGATGAAGGAAATCTTGAGGTATTATCAGAAAGTGACTGATTTTATTGAAAAGAAACATCCCGAAAAGGTTCACACTGGCCATATTGCCGCTTGGAGTAATCGCATTTGCCTAAGTCATTTTATAAACATTTTAAAAAGTAAGCAAAGCCAAACCTCTTTGGATAGATATTTAACCAAGCCACCTCTATCCAGTGAAAGCACTGGTGAAAGTGAAGGAAATAAATCAAAAAGCAGTGAATAAAAATTAAAGCAAAAAATATAAAACAACACTAATTTTTTTTAATCTTTTCTAAGTTATTTTTAAGTTATTGTTACATTATGTTATGTAAGTTAGATTTTAGTATCATTTCCCTTCTTCCCCTCCTCTGCCATCAGTTTACACCGCCACCTTCGTCTATCCTCAAAAGTAAAGTGCAAATAAAACTATATATTTTTTAAATTAATTATTATTCTATTATGGTTATTTATACATTTACAACTACAAAACGCATTTTTCAGTGTTTTCCTTACTATATTTATTATTATTTTTTAATGTACTACTTAGCTTTAATTTGAGTGTTTTTTCGTTGGAATGGATTATTTGGTTTTACATGTAATCGTATGGGGAAAAATGATTCACCTTACAACATTTTCATGATACGATCTCAGTTTCAAAACGAATTAATTTCATATCCTGAGGTACCACTGTATTAGTATATCCTAATAATAGTATATTAATATATCCCATGTTTAAATTTTTCTCCATTGCGTGTCGCTTCATGTTGAATTTTCGTCGATGTTAGGCCTAATGAAAATTTTTATAATAATAATTGTGGCTATTGTATCATTAAAAATTATTGAAAAATATAAAAGCAAAAAAAAATTATACTTTAGAAGTTAATCTAGTATCAAAAACGTTCAATTCAGCATGACAGTCCAACTGGAATGCTTTCGGTTAACTGACATTTCAGTTGATTGACATTTGGATAATCAATGCTCTACTGTATTAATTAATTAATAGATAAAAATTAAAATCAAAAATATTTTGAAAATCTAATTTATTTATAAAAATGCTGGTAAGGGCTCTTGCTTGATTTTCCCAGCACTTGAACAGAACAAGGACCAGGAAGAAAGTCTGATAATTTTCAATTATACAACAATATAAAATTTAAGTAACAACAAAAGCTTAGATGGCATAATTCTGTTGAATTATAATAAATTTCTCTATTTAAAAAAATTTAATAGTGTAAAAATAACAGTAGCTTAAGTTTACATGATGAAAGCAAAAGTATATATGATATATGATAGGCTCAAAGACCAAAAATGCTCAGTGAGGGGAAGAAAATGACCACAATGCATTCTAACTTCTCAGATCCAGCCGCAATGTGAATTTCTTGTTATAGTACTTCAAAAATGTGCACAATGCATTTTGGCATATTCAATAAGACCATAAAGCAAAATTCATATTGATATTCTTTTAACAATCAACCAAAATGCAATCTGGCAATCAACTACATACTATTAATTACATGAAATTAAGAATGAAAAAAGTTAAATGATTTTTCATCTCTTATTTTGTTAATGCTAATTTTATTTTATAAAATGAAAGAATGAAACAAATTAACCAAGGAAGCAAGTCTATATTTAATAAAACTATCATACACACTTTTTTATCTGCTGAAGATTCTACAGGTGTTAATTTTTTAATTCCATCTTGAAAAATATTTCCAAGTCCAACTCCTCTCACTGGCTTTGGTTTGATCTCTTGATGGCTAGGAGAACTCAATTTAGCACCATCTAAATTAAAAAAGAAAAACTTATTAGTTTCAATAAGATGTATTCAATGTATTCATAAAATAAACTTACATATTATATTTCATATAATTTAAACAGTTGTTATATTCTAAATCAAAATCAAAAGTTTGTATATAATAATAATAATAATGTTTTTGTAGGGGAACTGAAATCAAATGTATATCCAGACTTTTCCTGTAAATTTAATGAAATCTATATATATATATATATATATA